GTTAAAAAGCAAATCTCATTACGTGGTGTAGGCAGAGAGAATCATTGATCCGCATTTCAACAAAATGAGGGCGACCATAGTGTTACAGTCCGTGGGATACGCCATGGGCTCATGACTAACTCTTTCATGTGCAAAGTTGAGTATATGCAACACTGGTCTATTGTAGTAATTTTTGAAAAACTTATTTTTGTATACACATTCTAAGTTGCGCCCAAAAAGGTTGACTGTGGCTGAGATCAAAAAAATTACCAACTTTGATTGGCATTATTCAGCTGACGAGGAAAATGGAGAAGAAGATGCAAATTTGGAAAAGAAACTTTCAGATATTTTGGATAACTTAGCTGAAAGTATGAAAGCTGGCTTGATTGATCATTTTTTTAGAAAACCGAACATGAGTAATATTTGAGTGATAATGAAAACGTTGCACAGGAGGTGTTGGAAAAAATTGATTCACAGATTTTGAAGTGATCGAGTGCAGAGTTTATGGAAAGCCAAATCGGCTGGAAAAGTAAACTACAAAGACGGGTATATTAGAATGCAACCACAAGCACATGCGAAGGGCGTCTTTTGAGGCTATGCTGATTTTATTGAGCAAAATCAACCAATGCTCAATTGAATCTCACAATCAAATAGGTTTACTGTTGCATAAATTCAAGCATAGTAATCAGTTTGTTGTTATACTGTAGATATATACATATGCAGACGGCGAATAGAGGCATATGCTGCGCATAAATTTATAATAGCATGTTTGCTACCAAACTTTTGAACTCACATCAAACTGAAGTTGTCGCAAAAAGCGAGGTCGTCCATCATCACTTTCTTGACAATGAATGTATGTATGTGTGAGATCGACTCCGTCCTCATCAGCTCCTTCTAAGGGTTCTAAATCTGAATTAAAGCCCAATAGAAGAGCATATATTGCAGAGCTTATAAAATCCCTACGATTTTCCGGTTATAATCGCTGGCTGGACTGAAGAACAAGGGGCAGATTTAGACTATGTAACACTGGCTATCCAAGATATGTATACAGAAACGGAAGTTACACTTCTACTCTAATCTTCAAAAAATTGAAATAAACTTCATTTGAAAACAAAAATCAACTTCTCCATAAATTTATAACACCATTGAGGAAGGTTACATATACGCAACATCCTGTAGCTCTGGAACCAGGCCACCTTTGCTATTGAATTTTTTGTAAGCTGATAATGAGGTCAACGCCCATATTACTTCGGGCATATGAAGGGTAATGACTTTTTTGTGCCGGGATTGGAGGATGTTGATTGATATGAAATTTAGTTCCCAGAAACCGGCGGTAGATGCCACACAGCCAACGAAGTAATCAATTTATTGAATCACACTTTTGAAGAGCGCATTACGTGGACTTATTACGTCTCCTAAATTGCATGATTTAACACCACTGGACCACTGTCAGCGAAATTATATGAATTCTAATGCCTTGGAAGCACATTGTTGCAATCTTACGGCTCCAATTGTCACAAGAAGTTGTCGAAAATTAGCCCTCCCGGCTGGAATATATTCGTGCCAGCCGTGATGGTAACTTGGCAGAAACAATTTTTATAATATACTCGCAAACAAGCATCTTTATAATAAAGGTAAACTTTTGGCCATTTGAAGATCAGATGTCTACAAAAAAACACCCTTTAGTTTCTGTGTTTGTATTAAGGCAAGCGCGAAAAATATACTGAACTTGCAACAGCAAATTCAATTACACACCTGAAAACACTGCTCACACATACATATATACATACATACATGGATTTGTTTGTTTTTACTGCGTTTATTTTTTTACACAAAAGTGTGTAAGTCACAACAACAACAACAACAACAACAACAACAACAAATATTTGAAACAGTTAAATAGTAAACAGTTGGCAAAAAAAATTTTTTTCCATTTCATTTTCCATTGCAACACGCTGTTGCATGGCATATTTATTTATTTAAAACAATATTTTCACGCTTCTGCAAAAGCTTTTTATGTGTCTACACGGATACAGGCAAATATGTTTATACAATTTTTCTCATATTTAAATATGTAAATACATACATATTTACGCCCGTATTACTTATTGCGACCAAAAAAAATATTAAAAACTAAAAAAAAAATATGTATATATATATATATATATATTTGCACTCAATTAAAATTTGTTCAGCTCAGTAATTTTTTTTAAAAAGCTTTTAAATGGAATTTGCGTCATGATTATAAACGTTTGCCCTCAATGCGCTAATTTTGAGGCCAAAAAGTAGTGAACTCAGTTGATTATTAATTTCTTTTCTCTTTTTTATGCTAAAAAAAAACAACGGGAAAAATGTAAAAACAACATTTGATTTTGTGGTGAAAAGTTAATTTTTATAAATAACCAGTGATTTCGCCGAACAATTTTGCTCTGAAACGATATATTTAAGTGAAAGAATATGCACACACGGCCAATTAATATTCATTATTTTTTATTATTTTGCTAAATTTTCAGAAACTGATTATTTGATTGAATACACATATATACACACATATTTGTAAAGCTTTCAAACAAATTTTGTTGTCATTCGCAGCTTTCTTAGTATCTCCCTTGTGCATATTGTGTGTTGTTTATATACGAACTTTTCCATGATCGCGTAATGGAATGTATTTTCCATTGCCGCGGACGGGAAATCGTGTTCGCTATCTCTGGGTTTTCCAGTTTCACTTCCTTTCAGCAGGATGGATAAGTTTTCCCATTAAGTAAAAAACACATTGATTTTCAGAGATGCTGGATCGCAATTCAGGTTAGGCTACGATCTTAAAATCCAATAAGCCTCCGTCTTCAATTCTCGGTACCTCTCCTAGAAAATGTGATCCATCGGCTTTTTACTCTCTCTCTCTTTGGCTTTATGGCAATCTTCATTGTAGCAGCTCTCTCTTTAATATGGTGGAAAACCAATAACTTTGTTGGGAGTTTGTAAGTTCATCTCATATGACAAATGGCTGATGAGCATTCTCAGAGAGCATGGATTGTTTTTGAGGTGGCAGCAAGATGACTAGGAGAGTTTTGTTCTGCTGGAATCTAGTACTAGGGTCAATGATTTTTTAGCCCCCGGCAAAGTCGTTCGGTTTCAATATGTTTGGGCATGTTAACAAGATACCATTCGTGCTCACCTAATGTTGGAGAAGTGCGAATAGTGTGCTTTGACAAAGAAGCCAATGATGATGTTACTCATAAAGAATGATTTTATAAGACTCTCCATAGCTCTTTTCAAAAAAATCACAAAAATTCAGAAAAATGCATAAAACCTTTATTTGATTGGATAGTACGGTTAATATAACTTAATATTTGAAGATTATTTCATGCAAATGTTGACTGTGACTGCCCCTCAAATGGTCCATCCGCTTAGTCCAATTTTGGCATACTCTTTCCAACATTTTGGCCGTTATCTCACGTACAAATGCTTCACTGTTGCCCTCCAATGCGTCAATTGAAGCGGCCTTGCCTGTATAGGCATTGGATTTAACAAAGCTCCACAAAAAATTGTCTAAAGCCGTTAAATCGCAAGATCTAGGCGGTCAATTGACCTGTCCCGAACGTGAAATGAAATGTTCACCGAACTCGCCACTCAATAAGTCCATTGTTACGCATGCTGTGTGGCATGTGGCACCGTCTTGTTGAAACCACATGCCATGCAAGTCAAGCTCCTGCATTTGGTCAAAAAAGTTTGATATCAACTCACGTTCGCACTCATCATTCACAGTTACGTAACAATTCGCATCGTCTTGGTAGAAGTGCGATCCAATGATGCCACCAGCCCATAAACCAACCAAGCTCGGACTTTTTCTGGATGTATGGGTACGACAATTCTGCTTAGTTACGCACACACTAAGCCAAAAATGAGCTTGGGAGCGCGCGTGGAAGAAGAGCGGAAGAAGAACTTTCTTAACAGAGCACGCATTTCGATAGTAAAATTCTATCAGTTGCAAGCGTTGCTCGTTTGTAAGAGGATTCATGGTTGAATAATGGACCAAACTTAAGATGTTTGGCAGTGATGCAAAACACGAAGCGTGCGTCAGCTGTTTAAACCAGTGCTGCCAAAGAGATAATAGCTAAAAGATCACCGTTTATAACAGTTTGTGCCAAACACGTTCCTACATCGAGATGAATGATAGGTCTCAGCATCTGAGTCTCTCTTTGACGTTATATATACCACACAAACCTATTGGAACCAAAAGAAATTTCAAAATTTAACTCTCGGCCATTTAAGCTGCAGTCATTAAAAATACAGATTTTGTATATGGGGGATCCTAAGCCCAGTTCACAACTTCGCAACGCGAGTAAGCAGGAAAATTTGGATACATTTATGTAGCGAGCCACTTGTCGCAATACTGATGTCCGCTATTAGCTGTATCTCTTGTGAACATAACCTGCAAGCACACTCTAGTGTACCATTAAACCAGATATCTTAGAGTGGCTAAACCATAGTTCGCTCGCTTTTAGCCGTGACCCAAGCCTTCACATGAAGTTTAAGCGAGGAGATTGTAAGAGTAGGAATTAGAAAAAGTCTGGAAACTGTAGCGGCATATCTCGAATGCAAAGTATACTGAAATGCACCCCAAGCAGTATTTACCCCAATGATATTAATTGGACGAAGAATCAATTTCGACAAGTATTTCTTCGAACTGAGTAGGTAGGTAGTAGGACTAAAAAAATTAAATGTTAAGAGCTGCGCTGGAGGGATGATGAAAACACATCAGCTTCAAAAGTGCATACGTCAATTAAGAGGGATGAGTGGCGGCTAATTTAATTACATTGGATCCACTTTCATCTATTGAACAAACATATATGTAAATTATTTTGAGTTAACAATAAGATGGCGGGGGCGAGTGAATCAAAAGGCTTAGAGAAGCTAATATTAGCTTCAGCGTAAATATCAAATAATTTTCATAAAAGTGTTTGAGAAAGTTCTTTCTAAGACAAAAATGATTTCATTGAATTTTTTTTCTTCACTTACAGCTCAGCTCTCCACCCACAAATGGTTGCCATTTAATGACTACCTCACCCGCGCATACACAAGGTAACACTGTTACAGGACCACCAGCAAATTGCTTGGAGCAACCGCAAGAGACAATCGCACGGTAAGTAAAAGTAGAATACAAAAGGAATGAAAAGAAAATTAAGAAAAATAAATAAAATAGTTCGCAAGCTTGGCAACTCTGCAAATTATTTGGTAAGAGTTCGGAGTTTCTGGGCTAAATGATTTTTTTTTTTTTTTTTCAAAAACTTCGAACCCGAGTTTTGAATTTTCATTTACAGGAAAATAATTAGTTTTGGAAAATCTTTTGGTACAAATTGAAGAAGTCGCCATTGGTTGCAAACATATGAATAACAGTTATTTATATGAAACAGTTCCTTAACAAAACCAAAAACAATTCAACGTAAAAATTACCTGAAAAAGCATTTAAAAATTCTTTAGATTTGAATTTACTTGAATAGGTCTAATAGCATCGCCTCGACAAAAGAACTCAAAATTTTTGAAAACATACTACGAGCACTGATCCAATTGTTAAGAAAATAAGTATTGCCCAAAAAATAATTTAGAGAGATTTAAAAAAGAAGTATGATACCCAAAGGAGTTCCATGTATGGGTGCCGTATGGGTGCCACATGGTTTAAAGGTAAAATCCCCATGGACGGAATTTCCAAGAATCGTTGCTTAGTTGTAACAAAATGGATCCACTTCCAAATCGGATGCTGACTGGTGATGAAAAATCGTGGTAGAAAGGCAGTGCGTCAGCACTAACGATCTCCAATCCAGAGTTAACAGCAAGGATGGTTTTCTTGGTAGAATTGGCAAGGAGTTATTCACTATGCACTATGACCTATGGTGAGTCTCTTAATTCGGACTTTCTTCTATGAGCAATTGGGTCGTCTGAAGGAAGCAATCGCCCAGAAGTGATCAACCTTGGTCAACAGGAGGGCGATTGTGTTCTACCAGAACATCGCCAAACCACACACATCGATAGTGTTTCCCCAAATACGCCGAGAGCTTATCTAGGAGGTTCTAGTGCATTAACTTTATAGTCCAGACCTGTCACTAACTGATTATCACATGCCCCTGTCCGTAGTCTCTGAGAATCAACTGCCTAATTTTTGCCAATACGGCGAGAAGTTTTAAACCGAGAGGCATAACGATTTAATCTTCAAAATTGCAAAGAGTTATTGAAAAAAAAAAGTAATCCATATTTTGGTAACTCTGACTATGTTTAATGAAGTCTTGAATTTTATGCCAAAATAATGCATTACTTCTTACTAAGCCGTATTTTTGATGATATAATATATGAATTTTAGATGAACGTACGATTTTCAATTTTACTACGAAATTCTACTCAAAATCACATATGGCAATTGATTTGAAATTTGGAAATTTTTGTCAAATAATGGAATTTCATTTAAAAAGGTGAAACTTTGGCACTTCTTCCTTACTTCACTCGCCAAAAAAAAAAATTAAATTTACAATTAAATATTTAAAAATATTTACATTATTAAATTTTGCAAATTGATTGTTGACTTAAACTTTTGAAAATATGCAAATAAATTTTTTCGTAATATTTTTACACATAAAGCAACAACACTCTTCAAAAATAATACCAAAATTAATTAAGACACAATAAGGTGGCTCGCCAAAAAATTTTTTGGTTTTATTTTTCTTTGACAAATTTTTATTTCAGCACAAACATGAAAGTTTACTCGTTTATGTTTTCACTGACTAATTAATTGTCATGTCTTATTACCAAGAGAAAAGAAAGAATATTAAAAAATTAGAAAAAGCTAAGAGCAAAAGTATTGCGCGTTGCAAAAAAAAAAAAAAAAAAAACATTTAAGTGTTTTTGTTGCTTTCGTGCATTGGATGTGTATGAAAAATGGCATATTTACCAAATAAAAGTCTTAAACTAAAAATAAATCTTTACTTCTAAATAAAAACTTTTGTATATTTGAATGCTTTAAATCATAGAATAATTAAACGACTCACAAAACTTTGAATTTTTTTAAAAATACAACCAGACTTAAATAAATAGTGAAGATTAGACTAAGGAAAGATTGAAATTCTTAAATCAAAATTTCAGTTCTCGATCTTCTTTTCCGAAAAATTAAATAAATTTAAAAAAAAATAGTATAATTAAACCATCAGCCGTTCGGAGGCGCCTCAGTATAAATTGCAGGTCGCTCCACTTGTCAGAAAAACATCAAGATGCAAAACCTAGCCCTAGATAACAAAAACCCCTGGAAATTTGCAACTGTTAAAAAAAAAATCTGCATCATAAAAAAAAGTATTATTAGTCGAATATATGTGTCATCAGATCGTTTAAACACTATCTTTAAAGCAGGTCTGAATCCTAGTCAGTTCGAAATAGATTTACCAACAAACAACTGAATCGTAAAAGAAAGAAAGAATATGGCAGATATGATAGGCTGTCATTTCGAAGCTATTCACTCAGCTAAATAAACTTTTTGGAATAATTCAGTACATTGTATGGAAGAACATTCTTTTACACAGTTTTTAGCAAACAAAACCAGATATGAGGAATTAAATCGACAATAACGACTTTTTCTGATGTAAAGAAAGCAAATAATCTTACACCATAACCAAACTGAAAATTACTTCGTCACGCCAGATGGCTTGATAAACATCATTTCAAACCTTAAAAACAAACAGTCGTCAGGCCTAGATGAAATCCCCAACAGTGTACTAAAAAATTTACCAATGCTGCTCATTTGAGATTGTTGCACAATTTAAAAATATACTTAAGAACTCGTATTTCCCAAAACAAATGAAAAACAGCCAAACTCGAGGTCATTCCTAAAAAAGTTGAAGATAAAAACAATTTAAAAAATCTTAGACCAATCAGTATGTTACCCAATGTAAGCAAAATATTTGAGATAGTGATTAATATAAATATAAATAAATTCAATAAATATAAAGAAAAGAAAATAATAAGTTACGATTTCCACTAAGTGTAAGTTGTTCATGATTTCAGATATAAGGTTTAGAGTCAATATTGGAGACGAATTCAGCAGCCGTGATTTTATTATTATAAATGGCATCCAACAGAGCACAGTTAATGTCCCAATATTATTTAATCTATTTCTTACAGATCTGTTAAATAAAATAAATAAAAGGATAGCATTTGCTAATGGCATAGTAATCTATCATTCGGATGATAATATAACAGCCATAAAGACAAGTTTGCAGGAAAAATTCGCTAAGAATTAGCTTCATAAAATGAATTTAAATAAATTTGAAAACATTCTCTTTAGGGCTCCAATTTTTAAGTGCTCCTTTAATATTAGAGAAAAATGGAAACACTCTGGCATCAAACAAGTGAATCAAGCGAATTAATTACTGTAACTAACAAAGTTAATTACCTTGGAATTATCTTAGAAAAATTTTTATACTTCAACGTTCACATAAATATTCATATATTTTCAAAAGCTAACCGCGCTTTCTTTGTATAGAAAAAATGCTCTGTTCAAAAAAAGGTAAACAAAAGAGTTAAAAGTGTTATGTACCAATCACTAATACAACCAATAATAAGTTATGGTTGCACTATATTATTCAATACATATCCTTATGATATGGAACGCAGCAGGAAATTTGAGCGAAGAATACTTAGAGCTTGTACTTCTCTTTACAGAACATCATGTAGCAACTACTTAAAATTTATAACAAATAAAATACTATACGCTTCAGCTAACCTAATGAGCTTTGACATGAGAATTATATCCCTGATTAGGAACCATATTAGCCGTTGCCTGGAAGAAGAAACCAACACGTTCATAAAAACACCTTTCTCTTGTTATGATAGATATGCTAAAATGGCAATAAACTATTATTTTATTCCTACCTAAATATTTTTATACCAAAACAGACACAAATTCATTCAAAAAAATGAAGGTGCGCCAATTATATATCATATATTGGGAGTATGCATTAATTCGTGCGGCTTTCTAAGACAGGGCTCTACTAGTATTATTGTCGTTTTCAGTAGATGCCATTTGTTTTAGGGTGAACAACATTTTGTTTCATTTATTCATTTGAAAATGTTGAAATTTCTACCACATAAAGTGTTTTTGCGAACAGTTCTTCTTCATTACTTGAACATGAAGAAAAGTGCCACAGAAAGGGATCGTATTTTACTGGACATTTTTGGTGACCATGCTTTAGCCGAACGAATGTGCTAAAAGTGGTTTGCACGGTTTAAAGGTGGCAATTTCAACTTAGACGACGAACAGCCAAAAAAAATTTCAAGGCGAAGAATTGGAGACATTACTCGACGCAGTTGCGTGCCAGACGCAAGAAGAACTTGCAAAAGTATTAGGAGTTGATCAAGCAACCGTTTACAGACGATTGAAATGATTTTTTTACAATAATTTATAAATATTGTTTAATAATATTGTTACGATTTTGCTAAATCAAACTCGATGATTTTCTGAATCCTTCGTGTACGATCTCTGGATTGTTAAATAAAAATCGCTAACTTAATTTGTAGTTTCTTTCGTTACAAAGAATTTATCTAATGTCCTTTATTTACTCAGTAATTCACAGTTCAATTACAATGCACTTTACTAGCTACAATCACTGGCATAAACCTTTACAATTTACTCTACTTAAATGTAATCCCAACGCGTTTACTTTACTGATGTTAACACCAACGAGTACACTTTGTAACTAACTTGACTTGGCAGCTGAGTGTCGCCCTTATATAGCAGTCACCACTCATAGACGAAAGTGTAGAACAATCGAGTTGTTCGTTATCGATGGTTTCCGTTTCATCTTTCTAGAATGTACTAGTTATCGGCTTCTCTCTTTCTTCTGACATTCGCCTCGCATTTTCGAAACAATATTTTCACTGCAAACTCATGCGCATACATATAAAATCAAATGTAATTAAATTTAATTCAGCAAACTTAAAAGGAATTTCACATTGCATTAAGACTCTTGAGAGCTCGAGTAGAGAATTTGAAACATTGTAATGCTTTATATTAAAACTTTTTGTTTATTTATGTGACTAATTTAATATTTACTAATAAAATATTTAAAAAAAAGATATGAGTAGAGGTTTCAGTCACGCCGTGGATGACTGTAAATTTTTGGTTAATCCCGATGCAAATGATATCCCTTCGCTCTAGGAGTTTAAGTAAAATATATATAGAATTTAACTACCCTCATCGTGCCAGTAATTATCTTTATTATGTCACATTTTATTATCTAACAAATCTTATTTGAAATTTTTCTATTTTCCATTTTATTGCCGCCATAAATCACATTCATCGATCAAAAATCAATGCAACGTCATCATAACCTCTCATTCGTTGCCGAAAAACAAACTAATCACAACGCACCACATTCCCCACGGGCATGCAACATTAACATGCCACATGAGTCAACCATTATTTTGCCATATAATAATCCAACAACATGCATGCCCTCATACGCACATCTGTATTAATTCCCAAAAAAAAAAAAACAAATAAATAAAATCAGCAGCAAACAAAACGGTTTTGCAACACTAACCTCAACAAATATACTAACGACAACAACAAATCATGGTGCTAAAGTATGTGACCCTGTTCATTCACAGCAATCATCAACAGAATTTTTACAACAACAACCACCACGACAGAGCGATTTAAATACAACCGATCGTCAATTAGAGAGTGTTGCAGCAACATTTCAATTCACATCCCCGACAGCAACTTTTAAGCGTAGAAAGCAACAGCAGCAACAACAACAACAACTCCACCCGCAACATCAGCAAGTTGAACATGAATTGCACAGCAACAATACTAATAACTGTTTTAGCAATCAAATAGCAAATCCCACAGCAACAACAACTCCAGCAACAGAAGTAACGGTAATTAATAATTCACTAATAAAAGCGGAGCAACGCCAAACGCAATCGAAATCGAAATCACCTAATCGTGCAACGAGCTTTGAGAGTGGCAATGTGCAACAACTGCAACAACAACATGCCCCAACGGTGGCACTGAACACCTCGACGATTATGCTCAATGGTGGTGCAAGTGCGTTAACAACAACTACAAAAGCAGCGACACAAGCAACAATTGCTGATGATAATTTGGCATTCGGTGGCAAAATCAGTGCATTTGATCACACAGCGAGCGCACGCACACCACGTAATCGCACCTTGCCACGCATTGCAACAACCACAACAACACCACGGGCAGCCTATGCGGCTGACAGTCTCGATCTAGTGGGCAGCCATACTCGTACAAACTCCGGCCAAGCGTCACGTCAAGCGGCTGCAGTAACAACAAACTCACCTCTGAACGGCCACAACAAACGACAAAGTGTCACAGCCAAGGTGAAACAAGCTCAACAACAATACCAACAAAAAGAGGCGTTGCCAAGAAGAATGACCGCAGGTGCTGCTGCTGGTGGCAGTGCATCGGGTAGTGGTAGCGGCAGTGGTAATAGCAGTAATCACAGCAGCAACAACAACAGCAACGCGCTACACAAAGAAAACAGCATACTCATGGAAAGCTTGGGTGCTCATCTGGAGCTGGTGGGTTGGCGCAAGAAATGCCTGTACGGGCTGTTGGTCCTACTAATGCTGCTCATCATCACAAATCTGGTGTTGACATTGTGGATATTGAAAGTGATGGAATTCACAACGGTGAGTAAGTAACACACGAAACACACACAGATACAGCAATATCGAGATTTCACCGAAAGGCAAACTTAACGGTGGAAAATTTTGACAGAAATTCCAGACAAAACGAAGTGAAGCAGAATAAAAAAAGTCATAAATATTACAATACATATTTAAATGAGAAAAAATTAAAATAGTTATAAAAAATAATACTATTTAAATTATTAATTAAAAATTACAAAAATAAAAAAATTAAGTTAAACTAAAAAAAACCACATTAAACTAATTCAAATTAAAGCAAATAAAAAAAAATAAATAAAACTAAATAAAATAAGATATAATAAAATAAAATGAAATAAAAAAAAAATAAAATCAAATAATTTAAAGCGAAATAAAATATAACAATATATTGTACAAAAAATGAAAAGAATAAAATCAATTAAATTAAATTAAATTAAACTAAATTAAACAAATAAAAATAAAATGAAATAAGATAAAATGAATTGAAATGAAATGCAATAAATAAAAAAATTTAAAAAAACTTTAAATAAAATATAACAACACAAAATAAAATTCCGTTAAAATAAAATAACATAAAATAAAACTAAATAAAAAATAAAACAATATTTAATAAATAATTATATTTAATATAGAAGTAAAATTAAAAAATAAAATAAAGTTAAATAAAATTGAATATCACAAAATTAAATAAAGTTAATATAAAATAAAATTAAATAAAACAAAACAACATATAATGAAATCAAATAATTAAAAAATAATAATAAGCAACTTAAAATAAAAAAAAAAATTGAATTGAAATAAAAAATAAAACAATATTTAAAAAATAATTGTATTTAGAATATAAGTATATTTAAAAAGAAAATAAAGTCAAATAAATTAGAACAATACAAAATAAATATAATAAAATAAAATAATTAATAATAATTAATTAAGCAACTTAAAATAAAAAAAAGAAAATAAAATGAAATAAAATGAAAAATAAAATAATATTTAATAAATAATTATTTTTACTATTTAAGCAAATTTGAAAATAAAATAAAATAGTTTAAATGAGTAAGTGAAATAAGTAATAGTGACAAATTTAAAATATACAATATAAAGTGAAATAAGAAAATAAAAAACTGCATAATAATATAATAAAATAATATGAAATGCTTTAATTAATGTAAAACAAAATATAGTAAAATTAAGCTAAATAAATCAAAAAATAAATAGTTAATAAATAGTTAAAAATTTAATGCTGAAAACAGCGCAAATTTTCAATAAAATTATCCCACTGTAGGGACGGTGAAAAAGTTATTGTTGGCATAATATTGACTCCCCATGCATTCGAACAGAAACGACCAGTTGACAATATACAACCGAGCCGTTCGAGCCGCATAGTGTTAGTGTTTGTATGTAAGAGATAAAACGATTTACTTATTTGCCTCATTACCCAGCACAATTGTTGTTAATTGACCTTCAATGAGTGTTCTGTCTTATCATCATTGCAGGATGGCATGGGTCAATTGAAGATAGTGCCAGGCGGCATACAACTCACCGGTCAAGCGCTTATAATGGATATGCTGCGTGCATCGACAATACGCTCGAGGCATGGACAGCCGATAGCGATAGGTAAGTGCGTGTGTATGTGTGTGTGTTTGTCGATATGTATGAACGACAGGGATATGACATCTGCTGGAGGGTGATAAATGTTGGAATATATATATATATAAACAAACGATGAATTGCACTTGCATAAGTGTACATGTTTATTTCTCACCTATAAATTCAGTTACATTAATACGTATATATATATTTATATGACTACTAGCATTTATATGTATGTATACTATATATGTACTATGCAAATTTATTTGTCTGTGATTAGCCACAAATTTTGTATGCCGCCAGCATGACAAAACACATTCGCCAGCCCATACGCATATATTCATATGTCTACAAATACAATTCAAATATATATACATATATGTACATTTGCAAACTTAACTGGCTTGATTATTAATCATATGAATAAATCTGTGAATAAATTGTAAACATTTAGTCGGATAATGTTTTCTGATAACGAGTCACGACACAGAGATAAGATATTTACGCACGTAATTTATTATGGTGATGTCCCTATTAATATTCATTTTGCATAAATTTATAAGTATTCAGATTGTATAGCAAGTAAATTCGTCCATTGTAAAGGACACACATAGCTACAGGCAAAACTTAACGGTTTCTTCCTTAAGCTTATTGAATTACCCTTGTTATCCTTCATTTGGCAGTTTTATTTATTTATTGCTTTTTATTTATTTAGTTATTTATTTATTTATTTATTTATTCATTTACTTATTTAATTATTTATTTATTTATTTATTTATTTATTTATTTATTTATTTATTTATTTATTTATTAATTTATTTATTTATTTATTTATTTATTTATTTATTTATTTATTTATTTATTTATTTATTTATTTATTTATTCATTTACTTATTTAATTATTTATTTATTTATTTAGTTATTCATTTATTTATTTATTTATTTCTTTATTTATTTATTTATTTATTTATTTAATTATTTATTTATTTATTTAATTATTTATTTCTTTATTTATTTATTTATTTATGTACTTCTTAAAAAAAAAGAAACAATAAAAACTTTTTAATTGTAGACCTAGATACCAAAAGAATACTTTTTATGTCTTAAGTCCCAACTTTTTAATCCCAGCCCACCATGCGTTCACTGCTCTGCATAATTAGTTAATTTGCTTTCAGCAACAGGTGGCTTTTTGGTATCAACTTTTCACGAAATAATGCTGCCGAAACTCTTCTTCCCTATTCTAACTATGCTATGGACTTTCCCTAGAAGCTTCATTAGTTTTTTGAATTATGGGTCCGTTTCTATGTGCTCTTATAAAGCCAAAAAATTTATTCAACTTGTCTATTTCTAAAAGAGTTAATTTTACGATTGAAAAAGGAAACTGGAGAAAGATAATAATGACTGCCGAGCAGAAATGAACCACAACAGTTATTATTATATTAAAATATATACATAAAATTGGAAAAAGCTCTTAAGTGGACCTGGTTTCTCTTAAAATGCTGCTTTACTTTAAAGCCAAATAACTACCATGTAAAGTGGGGTTTTTGTCCTTGCTGAGACATGCCAGCGGCGCCAGAGCCTGCCAATGGGACCCTCTAGCCTAATGGTTAATTAAAACACGAAAGTGTTTGTTTTCCACACACCCGTAGTGTCTCGAAGCGAGATGAAGTCGCTAGTCGTTGAATTTGACCAATCTCGTGCATGTTGGTTGATGCAGCGTAACCCTCCTTAACGTCCGTGCGGTTTTGTCGGTTCGGTGGTCCAAAATGAACTCACTGTCTTATGTGCTTTTCATGTCTACCCAAATGTATGGATGCCGTCAAAATAACGGATGTCGAAAATATAGAGCGGAGAGTGTAGTTGCCTCTGTCTCGAGGCCGTCTGACGAGGAGAAATCAGAAGAGGAAGGAATAGCAATACCTGTATCGAAGCTGCAAGGCTAATGGAGAACAGAGGTGGCAATAGGAGCTGGGAAAGGAGGTGTTGCCGTCTATGTCTCGGAGCATGAAGGCAAAATAGAGAATAGAGAAATAGAGAGGCAATGGGAGGGAGTACTACATAAAGAATGTAGTGCAGTGCAGTCTGATATTCGTACGTAGGATTCGATCCTGCTAATAAAAGTAGCTGAGTATGAAATATCATTGTGTAATTGGCGGTATTTGTATGTTTACTTGTCGTTACAAAAAACGGTACTCAAACGGTCATCCAATGGAGGTTGGTACCGGCCAACGCTATTCTAATTGTCTGATTATAATGAACCGATGCCAATGAACTTGGTTTCATATTCAATAACAAAATATTAATTAAAAAGCCTGTATTTTCACAGAGTTAAATATTTTTTTAAAATATTATTATTGAGTGTTCGGGCTGTCCTTGAACTCAAACAACTTTCACTTGGCCTATGGACCCTAAGACATCCATGTATTCAGAAGTTTGGGCAGCTCCATACTCGTTCATTCATTTACTTTTCTTACAATTCTTTGAAATGTTCGAATATTTCACAAATGCTAGCAGAAAAGTTAATGCACGAATCTTCTAAATTCAGAACTTAACCATACATTGAATATTATAAAATACATGCAGAAGAAAAAATAAAAAATTGGAATAGATCTTAAATTAAATTAGAAACGCACTAAAATTAGAAATAAGCAAATGTGAAATGAAGTAGCAATTTGCTTTTGGGCCGAAGAAAATGCGTAGAAAGCTCCTGAACCCTGAAGCTTCCCTCTATATATCTGTGAGCATGGACCAAAACAAGATCTGCAATGTTGTTGTTGCTGTTGTAGCTTAGACACAGCTTTGATTAGTCAAAGTCGCCGAGGTCATCTAATGGTAGGTCCAAGAAACGAACTGTTTCGACAGGGGTTGGACCAGAGGGAGAAGGGGCTAGATGAGTTGGTTTGAGAAGGTATGTGAAGAGGTGGTGTCGTGCGGAGACTCTCTACATACAGGACATACGTTGGGTATGCTGGGGTCTAGTCTGGATAAGTAGGAGTTTAACCTGCTACAGAATCCAGACCTAAGTTGTGTCAGGCTCACGCGGGTCTCTCGAGGCAGCTCGAGCTCGTTGTCTGCTATAGATGGTCGTTTCTCTCTGAGTACGCCATTCACTGGAAAGCAGTCCTTCAAGACGTTGACTGGCAAACCTGTAGCTTCTTCATCTGCGTTTCATTCGTCCCCGGCGCCCAGATCGGTGCAGCATAGTTTACGACTTTATAAGTAGCCAGTGGAGTTTCGCGGCAATCGCTGTCGTATGCGAAGTGAAGGAGTGCAGGCTGTCTAGGGTTACTCCCAATATTTTTGGGTTATTTACCGTCGGAATTTTTGTGTCATCGACCTTCACATCTAGTTCAAGCCTGTACTCCTTTGTCTAGCTGGTGTAAAGGGTATCAAAGGATTTCGTCGGTTGTATTATTGGCTGTCTTGCAGTGAAGAAGTGGGAGAGATCAGCGAGGTAGCCGTTCACTTTCGAGCAGAGATCGTCAATATCCTGGCCAGACGCCATTATCGTACAATCTGCAATCGTCTGGTACGATTTACAAGTCTGTCATATTGATTGTTTATCTTCCAAAGTATTTGTTTCATATATAGTTTAAACCCTCCATAACAGCGGAACTTTAGTTCCAATAAAGAAACACCCAAAAAAAATGAATTGGATGAAAACCCTGTCATCAAAATTTTTAGCCATCTCCCTGCTGAAGTGAACGCCATTCTTTCTTACTGGGAATCGGAGTCATCGATTTGAAGTGGCTACCGTGCAAACTATGCAGCTCAGTAAAGTAAATTAGAACTACAATATATTGGAGTCTTGAAGATCTCTTAGTTGGCAGCTCCACTGTTTTTGTTTCCTTAAATAAAGAACCAATAGCACCGGCATGTAATATGAAATCATGCCTACTTTATTGCTTCATTTGGAGTGGCTCCAAGTGCATCACTAATACTTCCACAGCGTCACTGGAATCTCACTAGCGAGGTTAACAAAGAACACTGCATCGTATAAGAGAATTTATTGGACTTTCCATGGCAGCGGCTGCTGCATACGTTCAAACAAACAGATAGACATCGGGGTGGTTTTTAACAAATTCTTTTCTCCGTCTAGTGCGCCGCTTATGCGTTTATAGCCGAATCAATATTAGCACGCCATTGCTCTCTTCTTTCCACTGTCAGGCGCTAGTTGGATACCAAGTGAGGCCAGATAACTCTCCACCTGATCATTTCAACGGAGTGGAGGTCTCCCACTTCCTCCTTCCACCAGCGGGAACTGCATCGAATACTTTCTAAGCTGGAGTGTTTTCATCTTTTCGGACGACATGACCCAGCCAGCGAGCCGCTGTCCTTCATTCGCTGGACTACATCAATATCATCAAAAAGCTCGTACAGCTCATCGTTCCATCGTCTGTGGTATTCGGCGTTGCCAATGCGCAAAGGGCCAAAAATCTTTCGCAAAACTTTGCTCTCGAAGCCTCCCAGGGTCGAGTCATCAGATATTGACATCGTCTATGCCTCTGTGACATATAGTAGTACTGGTGTGATAAGTGTCTTGTAGAGTTTGGTTTTTTTTGCCGAGAGAAGACTTTACATCTCAATTGCCCACTCAGTCCTATGTAGAATCTGTTGGCAAGAGTGATTCTGCGTTGGATTTCAAGGCTTACCTTGTTGTTGGTGTTGATGCTGGTTCCTAGATAGTTGAAATTCTATACGACCACGAAGTTATGACTGTCAGCGGTGGCATGGGTACCGAGTCGCGAATGCGATGACTGTTTGTTTGATGCCAGAAGATATTTCGTCTTGCGCTCATTCACTACCAGACTCTTTCGCTTCTCTTCTTTGTTAAACTAAAGTTTAAATTCAAGTATTCTCGTAAGATATAAAAAGAATTGAAATTCTGAAAAATGAATAAATATATGAGTCTGACCAAGAAAAAGTCATCACGTCTCCAATGCTGTGGGGTACATTAAAAATATGTGTGCCACGCACGAATACATTTTTGAACAACCAAAGATGTTTGCACATACATATAAGTAAGTGTTCGTATATGGGACTGTGTGGTTTTGTATTTATGGGGATGTCCGTTGACTGGCGATGCACAATTACAGATAAAAGTAGAGAAAGACAGATGGGATTTTCACCTGATGACAACATTCAGGCATGAGGTGCTGAGGTGAGTGCGACAATTCCAGCTGAGTTGGTTGACTGCAATCTTTAAAAATTTTCATTTGCCACACACACGCGCTTTCAGAGGGCGAGTAGCGGGTTGGGATGGAGTGGAGGGGAAACGAATTTCCTGTGCTCATTTCAGTATTTTAGTTTCAACAGCGACACCGCCAAGGTTGGCTGGCGACTGGTCCATGGCCGTGAGTTACAAGCACAAGAATCGTGCGAGCACAAATTTTATTTCCGTTTCCGCTATCATGTCACACTAATCTTGCGGTTCGCAAGCTTATTTGTAAGAAAGTAGATATCTTGATATTTTCTTTTCCATTTTGACTCTCGTTTGAATTGTGACTGTGGTTCATAGGTCTTATTATAGGACATTTGTTATGTGGCTTCTACTTGGCTGTTATTTATTACTATTTTTATTATATAAGTGTAGTTGACATTTGTATTTTACTATCTTCAACCACAAATCGTACTCATATTTACGTTGTAATGTTTTTGTACAATTTTTCTGCTGCACTCGGATGGATGTCATCATCGGTGCTATAACTCATCGGCTGTGGAAAAAATCGAATGAACCGCTGATACAAACCTGATGTAAATAAACATAAATGTAAACGAAAATTTTCATGACCCAAAACATCAACGATTCATATCGACTGCAAACCAAATGGGAATATTGGTCATACCCACAATCACAACCTGTAATCGCCCACCACACATCGTCAACGTGGCTGTATGGTATGTTTTCCTTCGAGCACTTCGCACACCTTGCGGCAACCAAATATCATCAACAGAATCATCACGTAATTTTTCAATCAATACACGTGACGCGAATGGCATGCTGGAGAATCATTTATTCCTTGGGCATGATAAGCTCGAATGTTTGGCGAAGGAACTTCACATCAATGACACCAACGGGCGGAATTTATTTTCTGTAAATCAAAATGAAGTCACAATCGGTGCCCACGCGTTGCGTATTGACGGTGAAGGTGGCGCCATATTTCGGGAATCCATACAGACGCCGCATGTGCGCGCCGAGCCGGGACGTGAATTGAGGTGAGTGGAATAATGCTGTGTAATGAAGAGGAACTGGGAAAAATACAATAAAAAGTTGTATAATGTTACAAGCGAACACAAATAGCATTGTAGTGGGGAGAGATTTCGGTTTATTAGAGTAATCAATTTAAATATTTATTATGTTCGACAAAAAAATTAAAGATGATAAACAAATCAAAAATTTTGATCCAAACGAACAAAAACCGGAAAAAAATCTCATTTTCTATTTTGTTAATACTCTTCAGTTTTGCCATATTTCAAATATTTCCTTTACTCTATTCTATTTTATCGTATTTTATTAATTCAATATAATTTTTTTATTTAACTTTATTTTATTTTATTTTATTATTATTATTTTATTTAATTTTATTTAATTTAATTTTATTTTATTTTATTTTATTTTATTTTATTTTATTTTATTTTATTTTATTTTATTTTATTTTATTTTATTTTATTTTATTTTATTTTATTTTATTTTNTTATATAAATTTGTAATGTGAAAATTTACATGCATGCATATGTGTACATAAGTATGTTTACATTAGAAGATTACCCACGAATAGATAATCTTATCTTATGTTTTAATTTTTATTGCTTTACATATTCATGATAAGAACATCAGTATACATAGATGCTTATGTTGTTGTAAAGGCATCAAGTATCAATATTCATATCATGAGTATGTGTATATGGACATCTGTTTGTACTTTAATTTTTATTGCCTGGCCTATAAATGTCATACAGCATATGAATTTATGGCCATACATTTTAATTGCTGGCTTATCGTTTCGGAAAACTAAACAAATGTCATACAGCATATGAATTTATGGCCATACATTTTAATTGCTGGCTTATCGTTTCGGAAAACTAAACAGTAGTCATACTGGTAGCTATAAAGTGTTAGTTGAAAGCTGCATTGTATGGACGTGAATATGTGTGTAAGTCATTTGGACTAAATAGGCTTTAATAAAATGTAGTGAAAATATATATATATAAATACAAGTAGAATAAAAATTATAAACAATTAATTAATTGGTAAAAACTGGAGTGAACTAATAGGTGCAAAACCACCGAATTAATTATGTTATTTATAGAAATAATAATAATATTTACTTAAAATTAACGCGTGCATAATTAATATACTGAGTAAATATGAGTAGTATCTACATACATATGATATACATGTAGTATGAATGTCAGTCGGGTAAGTATAAAGATAGCATTTGTAAAAAATATAAACAAAGAAAAATAGTATAATATAGTGCATATAAATAAATAAAAATATGCTTAATTTGTTATCTATCGCGAATAAATTTTCTGTTGTTTTTTGTTATAATATTTTTTTGTTAAATAATGGAAAATATGTACTCAAATGCTTGTTAACATACTAGTCTGCGGTGTGAATCACAATTAAAGGAAAAATGTGTTTAGAATAAATAATCAAAGTACAGAATATACTCATTAGCTTTTAAATAAAAATTATAAATAAATACGCAGAAAATAAATATTGTTAAAAAAACCACTTAAATCCACTTTTAATTGAAAATAAAGAAAAAAAATGGTTTAACTTTGTTTATATTAAAATTATAATTTATTAGCTTCAACTACGGTTGGCAATGCTTGACGATATAAAATAAAAATAATTAAGATTACTTTATTTGCTATTTCCGAAATAAAGCTTTATCATTTCGTTAAATTTCAAGATTATCAAGAAATTTAAATTGATTCGGTTGAAGCATTATAAATGTTATCACTAAAGCGGTTATCAAAGTAAGTTGTATGCCGATTTTACCCGGAAAGAGCTACTGACGTTATTGTTAAATCATTAACAGAGAATGTTAAATCGTTTACGGAAAATGTTAAGCATTAAAATTGATATGTGCTGTTGATATCATAGCAGGCCGTCAATTCAAAATTAATGTTAACGTTTAGTTTTTGCGAATACAACATTATAATTTCATTGTGTTTCAATAGGATAATAAATTCGTTACGTTCATTTTTTATATTCACTTTTAACTAAAATAACTAAAAGAATATACACAATCAAATATATGTTATAAGAAACATACTGATTTATGCTTAGATATGAAACTGCATATGCATACATATCGTAATTAGTCAAATATAAATTAATTGAGTATACAAGTTTTTTTCGTTACAAAATAAACAAAAATCTTTAATGCAACTAATTAGCAGCTTCTAGGTGTTGTTAAGCGCTGGGGTAATAAAGAAAAACTTTGCTTAATTTTGTTGTATTATGAATAAAAATTTTACAAAAAAAAATTAGTTTTGTTCTTTCAATTGAAGATAATTATTTTAGATTAATATGCAATAAAAATCATTATTATATTATTACTTTTTTTTTATTAAGACCTCTGGTCAGTGAATAGTATTTGAGTTTTTCACTTGAAACAAAACATAGTTTTCTCACTTTCTGAAATTTTGTGGTTACGATCGCAAAAGAAATGCGCCATCTTGGCGGCCAGAATGCGTCATGACAATAGCTGATATGCTGTCCTGCATTCCGGGGTGTTTGATATTAACCGTTTTAAGCGATTGGAAGAAGAGCAAGGTCTCAGCTGCAGAGGCAAAACTTCCCCGCTGCAGTTTTCCCATTAATGAATTCATGCGGTTTTAGAAGTTATATTTTTAATTTTTCGTAACTAGTTTCAATTCCTTGCAACAACAACTGCCTTTTTTAACATTCAAGCAAGATTTCGGATATGCAAAATCGTCTTTTTCAATTGGCTTCAATTCAAATGGCACCCATTTTTTTTTTGCTTTTAAATATGGCCGGCTACTTTAATGATTCTTGTTTAAAATAAGTGCTTGGGTTACTTCTAAAGATTCCGCGAATTCTTCTTGAGATTGACAACAGTCTTCATCGAGTAGTACTTTCAGTTCCTCATCTTTAGAGTTCCTTTGGCTGCCATGGACATTCTTCCCCTTCAAAGTAAAAATCACCTCTTTTAAATCATAGAAACCACTTTTGGCAGCTTATCCCAGCAATGTGATCTTAACGAAAAGATCACAGTCAACATATACACCTCGAAAATTTATCACGTATTATAATTTCTTCCTCAATACTTACGAAATGAAATATATATTTCCGGTGCTTTTGGGTAAAAGGAAATTAAAATTAAAAGTATTCACTGCAGATTTTATTCATTTTGCTTTAACACGCAGATTCTTAGATGATAGCCGTTATCGCAGATAGGTGGGTACAAAAGCAGATACCCAACTAACCTGGCATGACTTTTTGTTATATCTGGATTGCGTTCCATAAATTATAAATGCTTGATATACAACCTCCAACTTTATATATATATAATTGGAGCTTCGTAACAGCTGTAGCGGTTTTGGGCCGAACTCCTCCTCCAATTTGTGGTTTTGCGTCTAGATGTTTAACCAGCACATGCAGGTACCTACAGTTTATACTAAGCCGCCTCCGAACGGCTGATAGTTTTTTATGAACAGATTTTACTTAATTTTTTATATAAATTAATTTTCTCTAACTTTTGGATGTGCGTCATACCAAGTTCCGAATGACCGTACGGAAAGCTAACCACTCGGCTACCGCGGCCGCCAGATACTTTATGAATTATTAACCAAAATTACACGACTTTTCTAAATTCAGTCAGCATCCTCAAATTACTAGAGATGTAAATTTTCTTTTATATTATATTTGCCCACAAATTATTATGGATGAAGGCAGTGTGCGTCGTATGAGCAACATTTAGTCAAAAGAGGGGAAACTACAATATTTAAAAAAAAAATAACTCATACGTCATGACAAACTTTTTGTGTGCCGATGTAATTTGTTTTTTGTTTCAACTGAAAACATTATATTTTTGTCTGTATAAATCTATTGTTTTATGGAATATTTTATTGATTTTATTGTTTTTATTAGTCTGATAATTTATATTTATAAATTTTGAAATATTTGTTCCCTTTGCTAGGGAATCTAAATGCATACACATATCTCAAGATATTATTATATATATAATTATTAAATATTTGCATGTTTAGTAACCGTTAACGCTAAGTGTGTTAAAAGTTCGAAAACCTCCGCCTTTAAAATTTTAGAAAATTACAAATATTCAATTTAAAATGGAAAAAAAATTTAATTTTTTAAACAAAAAAGAAACTTCAAAGTTCAAAAGAAACTTCAAAGTTTTAGCTTCAAACGCAATCATTTAATATTTTTTGTATATAGTAATTATTAGTTAAATTTTTTATAAATACCTTGCAAAACTGTATTATTCGTGAATTATTTTATTTTTTATAAATCGGGTACGAAAAAATACGACTATTAAGTAAGTACGTATGTAAGCAAAAACTAAAGAATAATTATTTATTAAAAAATAAAAAATTAGTTTTTATTATAAAGAAAATGAAGGAATTAGATAACATATTTTAAGCTATATAAAATGTTTATTACAAGACATGAAAGCGAAAAAATATAATTATTATACAATAAAAAATAACAATAAAATATTTAGAGCTAAACTAAAATTGAGTTGAAATTAAATAATAAGAAAATAAATAAAACTAATATTATACAAAGTAGCAAATGCTGTGTGTTGTTGTAAAAATATCGAAATTATTCTTTGAAATAAAACCAATGGAGAGAAGAGAAAAGCGATTAAAATAACTTGGAATTGAAAACAAATGAAAATATAAAGTTATATATATGTATACATACACCAACATATATATACAATACAAGCTAATATATATATATATTGACAATACGAAATATTTGACTTTATTTATTTTGAATTTTTTTTTTTGCGCGCCGCATTTTAGACACGTAATTTATTTGATTAAAAGACAACTGCGCTACGAGGGAGGAGCGTAAATTTTTGCGCAACTTTTTGACGCAACAAAAAAAAAAACAATATAACAAAACAACAAACACACACCGCAGAAGGTTTACGCCTCCGAAATCGGCAGCGAAACAAAGTCTTATATAAGTAAGTATATATATATCTGTATAT